TGTATAGTTCCTTCCAGGGAACTCACCATCTTCGTTTGGAATTCCAGTCGGAATATATTGACAAACCTCATATATGCAGCGTTAAGGTCGGACATAGTATATTTTTCATCTGAGTCGAACTTGTCGCAACCAATTGGTCCAGTTTGTGGAAATTCAAGTGAGTCTCTTATCTTCTGAGAAACTTCTCCTGTTATCTCATAAACATCGTCGAAGCAACCTGTTTCATATAAAACCTTCTGACCTAACTCAGATGCTCTCCAATACAATTTAACGTCAATTGGATGTCTCAATGGAAGTTTTGTTTATAGCATCTTGAAGTTCTTGCAACTCATTGGAAGTTCTTCTGGTTCAGGTTGGTATCCGAACAATCCAACTCCTTGTGGAATTGTGTACTTCTTTTGTACTATAACTTTGTCTGGAACAACTTTTGGTCTTGCTAACAATGAAAAGTTTGTTTCGTCTTTTGGTACAAAAGTTTCTGTCAGCTTGTCATCTGGAATTGGTTCCAACAAACCTTTCTCGAAAAGAATGTTTACAGCTCTGACAATGTTGCACTTGCCTTTTCCGACAATGGGTTGTAAGACTTTCGTTCAACATGAAGTGGTTGTGGACAATTACAATCTTCAACCATGGCAATTTGAAGTCAACAACATAGTCTCATGTGAAGAACCTTTAGCTGTAGGTATGTTGACTCGGATATTGACATTTGCCAACGGTGCAATTTTTGCCAATTGACCTCTGAGAATGTACCTTGTCTTCACACATGACTCAAGATACTTCATCTTCTCATCTGTAAGACCAGAGTTCCTGAGACATGTAAGAATGCAAGGTTCATTGACAATTGTTTCAATTGAATTGTAAAATTCATACCTTGTCAAGTCAATGTCAGACTTATTCTGAACGGGAAGTATCCAGCATGTTGTCTGACTGCTTGAGGGTTAGGTTGGTAACATTCGAACTTGACACTTGCAAATCCTTCAATTGCATTCAAAATGTTTGAGTCGGAGTCAACCATTTGTTCTCTCTTTGTAGTCTTGAAAGCGTCAAGAAGCATTGCAGCTGTTGTGACATTGCCATATGCATAGTAAATGTGACCTCCAAATCTGTTATGGTCAATCTGAGATTGTGTCCTTTCTTATTTCCGTCTTGTATGGCAGCAAGTACCCCATGAAGCCTTCTTTGTTCTTTCCTTCGTCAAAGTTTACTGTAAAGTTCGACCAGAAGTAATTTGACTTCTAACTTCACGCGTACTTCTCAGATGCATATCTTGTTCTTTCCATGGGAGCATGTGCGTCTTCACCTTTTCCTTTTTTCCTTCTCAAAGGATGCAATTGTTCGTCATGTTTCCAGTAGAATCTGGCAAAGCCGTCGTGTCCTTCAACTTGAGGTTCACTAACATCGAAAGGCATGTCCATAAGACGTTCTTCTTCTAACCTCTCTAGTCTGTTTGGATAATTTGCACGTGCTGTTTCCAAATCCATTTCGTAGCGAAGACCAGACAATTTGTCATAGACTTTTATGGGTCTTCCCTTCCTATATTTAAAATTCTTCGAAACTCTCCAACCATATCTTTGCAACTCTGCTTTTATTCTAGCAGACTTTCTATCCATTCTATGTGGGGGCATTTTTATAAAAATAAAAAAATGTTTTTTTCTTTACTTTACATAGCCACCTGAAGCCATAAGTCTTTGACGCCAACCCATACCAGCTAATGAAGGTTGACTTGGTTTAGTATTAAAACTAAACTTTGTTTTTGGTTTATCTTCAGTTTTTGGTTTTTCTTCTTCTATCGGTTTTTCGTCACTTTTCGGTTCCTTTGACTTTACCTCACTTGCAGGAACAGTTGTGTCGTCAACATCTTCATAAATATCATATGCCATTTGTTTTTGTTTTCCTTTCAACTTTTTGTGTTTGTTGTAAAGTTTAGAATATTTCGACTCTAAGTCAATGAGATGTTCTATAATGAACTGTTGGTCAGTGAAGTAAACTTTTCCATCTGTTGTCTCGAAAGCTCCTTCAGACTTCAATATTTTATTTGTGAGAGTCTGTTTTCTTTTTTGAGATACTAGCCGTTCCATTTCTATGAAAAGTGACTTTATAGTTAGGGTTTGTATTTCCAGACCTTGCACCTTCTATTATTGAATTTTTCTCTTCATCTGTAAGTTCTTTGACAGGTTTTGACAATGGTTCTGAACTTTTTGTTTGTGGTGTCAAATCTACCGTTTCAACTTCTTCGGTCATTTCATCTCAGTAAAAAATTTTAGTTTGGTTTGTTTTCAACTGGTTGTTTAGGTTTTTTAAGTCGGTCTAAAACTTCCTGAGGTATAGGAAGAACTTGACAAACACGTGGTGTAACTGCTGGAAGCCGACAAATCCATCTTGAACTTATTTGTCTCAATGCTGCATTGTTCATTTCATCTCAATAAAAAACTTTACATTCCCCACGTTTGAGGCGGTTGAGGTTGGTTATTGTTTACCCATTGTTGTGCATGGTTATATCCTCTGTTAAAGAATCTTTCACCTTGGTCCATATAGTGTCCTGCTTGGTTATAGTAGTCATTTGCTTTGTTATAATAGTTTCCTGCTTGTCTTCCTACATTGTCCATCCATCCTTGAACTTTTCCTCTTGTTTCAGGATTTGGAATAAGATTTGCTGCATCTCGTGCTACATCCCAACCTTTCTGTACAGTTTGTATAATAGGTTGTGCTTTCTCTTTCAGTATACCTAATGTACTCAAAATCTTCCTTCCAACTCCAAATACACCTCTGGCTATTGTTCCCACTGCGGGCAAAAAATCTGGATGCAACTCCTGCTAACGCGCCAAATAAACCCATTTCTTATGGGTTAAAAAATGACGAATCCAAACAAGGACCCTATGTTTCTAAAGCGACAAAAAAAGCACTTATGGTAAAATCTTTAGTTCAACACCAAATGCTTGGTTTATGGATATCTTGGAAAACATTCCGAGGTATAGAGAAGATGGACCTCCATACTGGCTAATATTTGTCGGTCAAAACACAAGATACTGTGAAGCCATACCATTACAGTCCAAAAATATTTTAGATATCTTAGCAGCTTTGACAATATTCGTTGACAAATACCATCCAACAAAACTGACATCTGACTGTGAAAGTTCTTTCAAATCAGATGATGTAAAAAACTATCTGCGTTCAAAAAATGTAAACCAATATTTCATTGTCGACCAAAACCATTCTGCTCTTGGTGTCATTGACGGTTGTATAAAAATGTTAAGAGACTTAAACCAACCACAAGGTGGTGAGGTAGATGAAATGTCATATGACGACAAGTATAGACACTTCTCCATGGCAAAGATGAGACAAGTTTTAAATATTTACAATAACCGTAAACAAAAAGGTTTGGGAAACCACTCCCCCGAAGAAATGAAAAAACAACCCTGACTTAGAGAAAGACTATATATTTAACAATTTAGTCAAAAGAGACAAACAAGAAAGAATGCCAGGCTTCAAACTTCGGAAGGGTGACAAAGTAAAAATAGAAATACCTAAACGCGACCCATATGAAAATACTATTGACTATGACAACAATGGAACCCGACAGGTACTCACATTCGTGTTCGTAAAAATAGAAGAAAGTATACAAGAGAATATTATGAAGTTTTAGGCAAACATGGCAAAATGTACAGACTGCAAGCAGAAGATAAAACTACTATTGTCAGACCTCGTTTCAAACTTGTCAAAGTTCAAGGTGGTATACTTTCAAAGACAGTTCCTAACAAATATAAGACAACTCCTGACGAATATGCTAAAGAAGTTGAAAATGACGACTAAGCAATTCTATACCATGCGTAAACTGTCATGTAAGGTGGCATGTAGTCTTTACTTTGTCCCGTTGTTTGCGTATATCCTGAAACGAAATGTGTATGGTTTCCTCCTCCCTCAGTGTTACTCCAGTAACAATCTATAGCAAACTTAACGTTGTCTTTAACATCATATCCTTTACCTTTTGTCAAGCTGTGCCAATCCCAATATCTATGCTTATGCCAACCTGCTTGAGATGTACTTAAATCTATGTAGTGACTGTGCGCAGGTAAGTTTTCACCCGAAATCGTTTTACTTCCACCTGTTTCCTTTGAAGAGTTTGCACAATACAAAAACCTGTCGACTATTTGAGTCCAAGTTCCAAAACCAAGTACTACTTCTGGTCTGGTAGAGTTCATTGACGTATAAATAGAACCTATAGGATATACTGTTTGAAGTATTTCTGTCTTTAATGTTTGAAGCTCTGTTTTGTCTGCTTTCTTATCTAACATTGTTGGTAGTTCATATGCTTCAAAGTTTCTGGCATGACTTTCAATGTTCCTGCAACTGTTATCTAAATTGTTAAGAGTATCTTTTACACTAGTGCTTGGATTCTCTAAAGGTGCACTTGAACCAAGGTCAAAGTTCAATATTATATCATCTGCTGTAAAAGTTGTAAAACTTGTATGTGTATGTCCAACGTCACTTTTCCTGTTTAAGGTTTCTTGTAAGTTTGTAATATTTGCAATGGTATGTGTATGAGTCTTTTTAGAATATTCGTTTTCAGCTCTTGTCACTTCACTTGACATTTTATTGTCAACATATGTTTTGTCTGCTAGTTCAGGATGAGTATGTTCTTTTGTTGCATATGTTGCATCTGCTCTGTCATGTTCTTCTTGAACTTTTTCAATGACATATTCTTTGTCAGCTTTGTTGTCAACATCTGCTTTCAAAAGAAGTTCAGATATAGGTTTCTCGTTTAAAGTTCCTTTTGTTGGATTTATACAAACAGTATGGTTCTTATTGTCTTGAAATAGAAACTCATCTGTCATTGGGTTTAAAGTCAGTTTTAAGTTTCCTTCTTTCAATGACTCAGATATCTTAGAATAGTTTGAAAAGTTTGTTGTGTTCTTATTTAGAGCTTGTATAATGAGTTGTCGGTTGTGTTGTATTTCTCTCATAGACGCTGTTTCATTTGACATTTTTATTCTAGATAAAATATGCTTTCAATAGAAAAAGAAAATTCAAGAGTTGCTACAACTAAACCATTAGATGAACTTTTTACGAATGTCGGTCAAAAGTTTGAGACAGAGACCGTAAAGCATGAAGGCTATCGTTTTGACTACCCGTTAAGATGGTTAAGAGACCCATCTGTCACAAAAGCTATTGGCTTTCGTAGAATGAAGTTCATTTCAGAAGCCATACATGGTTTCCCATTTACGGTCGGTTTTGAAGTTCGATACTATAACAAAGAAAAACGTACGTATGAGAAATTTGAACAGGGAAAACTTTTACAAGTGAATTTGCTTGTAAACTTAGAAACAACTCTTCAAGCTTTTCAAGAAAAAATAAACGATATCTATCTCGAATATGCAAAACAGTATAACATTGACGAGGGAGAGTACCATCTCGATATTATATATGACAGGAAAAATGCAACTGTTAAAATCAATAGAATAGAAGACCTTGGAGAAAACGTTTATATTTCTACAAAATATAACAACTTGGCATGGTATAGATTTTTGAGGATGTTAAATCAGCCTGCAGCATATCCAGTACACCCAGACTTTTATGAAGTCGAAAACCCTAATGGAACATATGAAAATGTTTTCGACTCAGATGCTATTATCGTTCATGCTTCATTTTCTGGTGCACAAAACTCTTTTTATGCTTGGCAAATGACTTTTACGAAACCTACAAAGCTATATGAACCACCAAGTGGAAGTATTTCAGACTTTCAAGTATGGTTTACAACAGATGGAAGAAAGAGAATAATTCCATTATTACCATGCGTTTTACTTAGAACTTAGTTTCATATACAACTACTATCGAACGGTAAAAATATAATTTTTAATACGGTTGAGGTGTGGATTTGGTTGCCAACTAGACTGTGGTGCAGGTTCAGGCTGTTTGTATAACAGGAGCTTGTTCTTCTGGTTCAGGGTCTTTAGGTATAATACCAACGAACTGACCTACTCTTTTACCAATATTTTTGACACCGTTCCAAATTCCTCTTCCGACAGATTTTATTTCCATTCCATATACCTCTTCCAACATTTCGAAAGAAGTTTCCTATTCTTCCAAAGAAACCCATTTTACTATATGTAAAAATCTAATGTCCGCCTAGTCTCTTACGTTTCCTGTTGAGTTCCATAGCATTCTTTAACTGGAGCTCATACATTCTGTTTCTCCTCTGGTAGAAAACATATTCTGGGTCAACTCCTGTGTTCGCGTCATCTGCATAAAGTTGTTTATATCCCACTTCGGGTTTGTATAAAACTCTTTCCATCTCATATTTGCATACCATGGTGGCAAACCTAACGCAGCGTCATTTGACATGGCAGTTTGCATTTGTACATCTGTTGGCACTTGACCATAGTTTGCCATTGCAGTTTGTATTCTAACTTCATTTGGAATATTCTCTGGGTTTGGTTGTCCAGGTTGCTGTGCATTCGCTAAGTTCTGTGCGTCCATTTAATATTAGATAAAAATATCTCTTACGAGTACATATGCTGAACATTTGCAGGCATTGGTTCATCTTCATATTCTCTGTACTTTTCTGCCACGTCAAATAAATAAATGACACAATGGAAAAAACCTAAAACAAGTAGTCCTATTTCAAACCACATTTACTTACTAGTAAAATTTCTTTGTTATGACACTTTCTCCAGTTTATAGGACCTCTCTCATATTCTATCTTGTCATATTTAAACTCATAGTCATGTATGTCCTCTAACCATCTCATAACGGTTTCCAAACCACTTTTATCGGATGTAAAGTAAAAGCATGGATGGTTATGTAAAACGTCTAAAGTTTCTAAAGAGTCTCTCAAAGTCCAGTCTACTTGGTATTGAAAATCGCATGTGTTATAGAACGGCGGGTCCACTATAAAGAAAACATTTTCCTTGTCTTTATATTTTTCATACAACTCTGTCCAACGACATCTCACAAACTCTATACCCTCAATATATTTTTCTATGTCCTCTTTGAAAACATTTGTATAGTTAAGATATAAAACTTTTGACATAAGTGTTTCAATGTCATGAACTCTTATAGAACCACTATATAATAGTCTAGCAGATATACTATCCCAGTCTATATATTCTGCTTTTTTCAAAACCTCTCTCACAATATTTTTCTTATCTAATGGTATACGTTCCATCTTACCTATAGGTATCTTTTCTTTTAACTCTTTCAATATATTGTTTGTGTCTGGAATATGTTTGAGACGGTCCATATAGTTGTCGAAGTCATTGCATATAATCTTTGAGTCTGGAAATATTGTATGGCACAGATGGGATATATAGAAACTTCCACCGAACAAATCTACAAATGTTAGACCATTCGGTAGTTTCTTAAGTTCTCTCAATATAATATCTTTACATCTACTCTTATTTCCAAAGAATGGTAACGGTGGTTTTGTAAAATTCATTTATATATAATAATAAAAATGTTTTTACCTGAAAAGTGACAGAAAAGTGACAAAACATTTACGATGAAATCATGAAAATTCATGAAAATTCATGAAAATTCATGAGGTGAGAAAACAGGTGAGAAAACGGGTGACATCTCACCTCTTCACCTAAATTATATTTTTGGGTCATTTACGCTCATTACGAAGAAGTCTTGACAAAACATTTACGAAGAAGTCTTGACAAAACATTTACGATGAAGAAGTTTCGACAAAACATTTACGATGAAGTCTTGACAAAAAAGTCAACGGCTGGTCGGCTGGGGTTCGGTCCTCCTCTTGGGTCTTGGGCAAAATTCTTAGGGCTAGAAGGGGCGCAGCCCCTGGAAGCCCCACTACCTTTTTTTTTTTTTTTTTTATTTTGTATGAAATGAGCGTCAAAACTAACAACGTTAAAAAATTAGGATTCACAAACGAGGAAATAAAGGATATATTAGAGGAGGTGGGTTATGAAGTTAATAAATATTATTTAAGAAATTGTCAAAAATTTGCCGAGTTATTAAATGATTTAGATTATGATGGAAAAATGAATAAAGATGATGTTATAAATTTCTTATATCCTACATCTGAAGAAGAAAAACCTAAAGAACCTGATGTTTTCCCTGAATATTATGAAGAACGGATTAAAGATGATGAATACAATGAAATTGAAAGACTGAAAAAAATAAGAGATGAAATAGATGAAAGAATTAAGGAATTAAGAGAAGTTGAAAAATATAATGAAAATGAAGTAGAGGGTTTAATGAATATCCCAGCTTCAGAATCAGAAGTTCAGAAATCTCATGAAGAAAGATATAAAAATTATGTCTCAGAATCAACACAAAATTTATTAGATGGTGAAATAGACGAAACACTTTCAGAAGAAGGTACTAAATTTATTCGTAAACATGAGTTACAATTTATTGATAATGAAGAATACCCCTGTATCCTACTTTCACCCCCTCTCGATTCTGAGAAATTCAAAAAAGCTCTTAAAAACGTGACATATGCAACTAATACGATTAAGAAAGAAGATCATGATATTTACACAAATTATTATTTAAATAAATGCACAGGTGTTGATAAAGTTTTTGATTTATTAGATAAAATATCAAAAGAAACCATTGGAACATATAAAATTTTATGTGATTGCGGTTTCATTGTTGAAGATACTAATAATGTTTCATATGAAAGAACAGCACCGAAGGAAGATGAAGTGGAAAGGTCTATACCATTCGTTATTAAGAATATAAAAGATATGAAAACTTATAAACATTATATTTATTCATTTATTTCAGAAAAAATGGAAGCAACCCATAAAACATCTTCTCATCATTTTATAGCTATTCATACATTCCTTTTCAAAGTTGTGAAATTAAATAAGACAGGAATTAGATTTAATGTATCAGGGTACGCATTCTTGAGTAAATTAAAATGTATTCGTCACGTCGCAGATGATAAAAATTTATGTGTTCTTAATTCTTTTTACGGACTTTAAAAAAATAAACTTTATTTTTTAATTTTTTATTCTTACATAAATGAACAAAAACGGAACAGCTAAAATGAATGATAATCAAATTAGAGCAGAAGGTAGAAGGTTATTTAAACGCTTCTATAACATTCCTGATGGTGTTAATCCTAAAACTCGTAGAAGCTATTTAAATGAAGCAATAGATGCATATGAAGGGTTTGACATTTCATCAGAAAGTGAGAGATTAGCGAAAATGTTAAATGTTAATATTGATTTCTATTATTGTGATCCTCAACCAGAAGACGTGGACATAAATAAGGTAGACTTTCCATTAGTGGAATCAATAATGATAGATCCAGAATTTGAAACAGTAAATATTTTATTAACACAGAGTCCATGTGGAAAACTTCACGCTGACAGAATAACAGACGTTGAAGCACTCACCGGCTATAAAGTTTGTCCATATTGTAAAGAAGAAGTTTATTCTATCCGTGATGATCCAGAAAGGAAAAACCAAAGAAGATTTTTAAAGCATTGTGAGAAATGTAAAGAAAATAATGGGAGATTAATTCAAGACGTTCAGTTGCAAAAGACACAGCAACCATATGCACCACATATTACGAAACAGAAGATATATCAGTGGTTATTAGCTCACAATTTACAGAAATATTATAAACCGACAAGATATTATATTACTTTTGACTTTGAAACATTAGAGACTAAAGAAGAATTACAACTTTCTGAGTGTGCAACTTTGAATGCTTACTTAAAACCATTCATGGTATCATCAACGGTTAAATTAAATGATAAAACATATACGAGGAATTTTTGCTTAACTTCGAGTGATTCTTTTATTTCTGATTGGATTGAGTTTTTATTTTCAACCTGTTCATTAGTTGCTAAATCAAATATTGAACAATATGAAGAATTATTGAAGCCGCAAACGGCGGGGACTTTGTCCCATACATTAAATGAAAAACAGAAGGAAGCATTTAAAGAACTTCTAGATGAGGAATTCAATAAAGTGAATATCATAGGTTTTAATTCGGGAAAGTTTGATTTAAATTTAATTCTTCGTGATTTAAACACTGCAAAATGGAAAATATAGGGTGTCCAAAGGTGCGTTTAGCACAGCGCTCTATATGAGACTATTAAAGGAGATATATGCTGATTATAAATATATAATAAAAAATATGAATATATGTATATGATGAGTATGTTGTATTTTGGCGCCATGCCGGGATATAAAATGAATTTTGAGACAAGAGGCGGTTTCGCGGGAAATTTTGGCGGGATTTTTTTCATTTTTTTAATGAATCATAAAGAAAACATCCTCGCTCTTGCAAAAAAATGCAAAGACTGTAAAAAAATCTACGAGACATTGGTAAAATGCTTCGGTATGGATGCTCCTAGCTATTCCACTGTAACGTATCATGTTAGGATGTATCACTTCATGAACAAAAAGGCGCCCATCATAAAAATTGACAAAAAATCGCCGGATCAAAGAAAAATCAAAGCAATTCTTCAAGCGCTAGATGAAGACCCAAGAGCATCACTCAGAAGGATAGAGGAGATGACAAAGATACCACGTACAACAGTCAGTTATTATCTGCACAATTATTTGAACTACAAACTAGCGTATACACGTTGGGTTCCGCACAACCTTAATTCAGTTCAAAAAAAATCTAGAGTCCAATCTTCGAAAGAGCTCCTCTCTATATTGGGTGCGTATCAATCCAAGAAGTTTCGCTTTTTAGTAACAGGGGACGAGTCTTGGTTTCAATATGCAACAGAAGCCAAAATCATGTGGATCCCGAAGGATGAAAATCCGCAAACATTCCCGAAGAAAAAAATTGACACACCAATGATGATGTTGTCGGTTTTTTGGGGCGTGAATGGCATCATCGCAATTGATATTCTTCAAAAACCTAATACGATGAATGCTCAGTATCTAATTGACAATGTTCTTACTCAAATTATCAATTCTGATGAGTTTGAGAATCCAAACAACAAAAACAAAAGTTTGCAATTCATTTTGATAATTCAAGAGTTCACAAAAGTCATAAGGTAATGAATTACTTGGTGGAAAACAATGTCAAAGTTATTCCAAAACCAATTTATTCACCTGATATTGCACCCTCTGACTTTTATTTATTCGGCACGCTAAAAAAGAGAGCTGAAGGACGCGAATTCGCGAGTCCAGATGATCTTGAAAATTTTGTAAGAGAGCAATTTGAGCAATTTTCTCATGATGATTTAAAGCGTGTCTTTCAAGCCTGGATCGATCGCTGCGAACGCGTGATTGAATCCAATGGTGATTATATTTAAATAAACTTTATATATATGTAACTTGTTTATTTCTATTCGCAGTATTCAGGTTTGTGCTAAACACACCTTTGGACACCCTATAAAATCAATGCTGGGTTCATCTTCTCAATTTAAGCAAGTCATTGTAAAGAAAACAAACGTTCCATATGAATTGAGATTTATTGACATCAGAAATTATATAGCGGGTGGGACATTAGACCAATTCACTCAAGATTTCGGAAACAATAAATCACGTGTTAAATCCTTTTTCCCTTATCAATTCATCACATGGGAAAATTACGAAGAAGAATTATATAAAGTGGAACCATTCACGAAAGATTCATTTTATTCAGCATTAACTCAAGAAACTATATCAGATAGTGATTATCAAATATATCTCCATGATGCTAAAAACTTTAAGAATAGATTAGAATATTTTATTCATTATTGCAATAAAGATGTTGAAATTATGATTGACCCAATCGATAAAATTATTGAAGAAACATTTGTTTATAAGATTGATATGCTTCATAATCTTTCTTTATCATCGAATGCTTCAATGATTCGTTACGCTTTAGCATATAAAGACTTTAATCCTAATGAAAAATATCCTGAGGAAGAGATAGAATCAAGTTTTGAATTAACGAAAAAGTATTGGAAATATAAAATTGAATCATATAAGAAACAAGATGAAAAAGCAGAAAGGGATACTAAAAATAATGTTTCAATGGATGATTTTCAATACTATCACGATTTAATCCTTTCATCTAAATGCAAAATGTGTGGTAAAGCGTTTACATATGCTAATAAACCAACATTGGATAGAATCGATAATGAAAAACCACATACCAAAGAAAATTGTCAGTTAATGTGTTGTTATTGCAATGTCGTGAAATCAAATAAAGATGAAGACATTCAACGTTTAAGAATCAATTTAAGAAATCACGCATTAAAAAATAATTTACCAATGACTTTAGATTCAGTGGAAGCTTATCACATTCTCCGTAATGGAATTACTGGTGGTCTATCAAATGTTCAACATAGAGTAAATCTTAAAGGAATCACGCACATTAATAAACTTTCATATAATCCAGAAACTAAAACTGTATCAAATGAGGACACTTCCAACATCATGACTCATTTCGTTGGTGTTGATTTTAATTCATTATATCCTTCATCATTTTCATCTAATCCTCATGATTTCATTCAATATACTGACCATAAAATGTATATGCCGGGAAGATTGAATGGTGTTATCATTTGTGATACAGCAACAAAGAAAGCAAAAGCACTGGGAATAATTAAGAAGAAAAATACTTTATTCGTGGCTGAAGTAAAGGGTCACATTGATGAAAAATACATTAATGATTACATAAACTTTTTACCGATAATAAGAAACTTAGATATTATCACAGATGAAAAAACAATTGGCAGTTTTATGTATAATTACATGAAATCAAACAATCTACCAGTTGACCAGAAACAGAGGAAATTAAACTCAGTTAGCATCAACACATAACCAATATCAACCATTTTCTTCTTATTATCTATGGTATCTAATCGACAGGTTTAATTTTATCATTGATGACATTCAATCAATTTTAACATTTACTAAAAACACTTGTTTTAATGAATTTGCGAACAAATTTATGAACGAAAGACAAAAGGCTGAATTAGAAGGAAATAAAGGAAAAAGTTTATTTTGCAAGATTTCACTTAATGGATCATATGGTTACGATGCAATGAATACACAAAATTACGCAAAGACTAAAATAATGAATGCACAGAAGGCACGCGTTGCATGTATGTCAAATAAGTTTAAAAACATAAGAGAAATAGGTGAGGATACATATCAAGTGATGCTTAAAGATAGATTTTATAGATGTGATACATGTTTACAAGAGGCATTTTTTACTTTAGATAACGCAAAATACTGGTATTTGGTTTTCATTTATGATTTTATGTATAGGGTGTCCAAAGGTGCGTTTAGCACAGCGCTCTATATGAGACTATTAAAGGAGATATATGCTGATTATAAATATATAATAAAAAATATGAATATATGTATATGATGAGTATGTTGTATTTTGGCGCCATGCCGGGATATAAAATGAATTTTGAGACAAGAGGCGGTTTCGCGGGAAATTTTGGCGGGATTTTTTTCATTTTTTTAATGAATCATAAAGAAAACATCCTCGCTCTTGCAAAAAAATGCAAAGACTGTAAAAAAATCTACGAGACATTGGTAAAATGCTTCGGTATGGATGCTCCTAGCTATTCCACTGTAACGTATCATGTTAGGATGTATCACTTCATGAACAAAAAGGCGCCCATCATAAAAATTGACAAAAAATCGCCGGATCAAAGAAAAATCAAAGCAATTCTTCAAGCGCTAGATGAAGACCCAAGAGCATCACTCAGAAGGATAGAGGAGATGACAAAGATACCACGTACAACAGTCAGTTATTATCTGCACAATTATTTGAACTACAAACTAGCGTATACACGTTGGGTTCCGCACAACCTTAATTCAGTTCAAAAAAAATCTAGAGTCCAATCTTCGAAAGAGCTCCTCTCTATATTGGGTGCGTATCAATCCAAGAAGTTTCGCTTTTTAGTAACAGGGGACGAGTCTTGGTTTCAATATGCAACAGAAGCCAAAATCATGTGGATCCCGAAGGATGAAAATCCACAAACATTCCCGAAGAAAAAAATTGACACACCAATGATGATGTTGTCGGTTTTTTGGGGCGTGAATGGCATCATCGCAATTGATATTCTTCAAAAACCTAATACGATGAATGCTCAGTATCTAATTGACAATGTTCTTACTCAAATTATCAATTCTGATGAGTTTGAGAAATCCAAACAACAAAAACAAAAGTTTGCAATTCATTTTGATAATTCAAGAGTTCACAAAAGTCATAAGGTAATGAATTACTTGGTGGAAAACAATGTCAAAGTTGTTCCAAACCCAATTTATTCACCTGATATTGCACCCTCTGACTTTTATTTATTCGGCACGCTAAAAAAGAGAGCTGAAGGACGCGAATTCGCGAGTCCAGATGATCTTGAAAATTTTGTAAGAGAGCAATTTGAGCAATTTTCTCATGATGATTTAAAGCGTGTCTTTCAAGCCTGGATCGATCGCTGCGAACGCGTGATTGAATCCAATGGTGATTATATTTAAATAAACTTTATATATATGTAACTTGTTTATTTCTATTCGCAGTATTCAGGTTTGTGCTAAACACACCTTTGGACACCCTATATAAATGCATGAATGTTAATCGTTTTCATTTCATTGAAGGTGATACTGATTCATCTTATTGGGCAATCACTG